GGGGAGGGGCTCGTATTTGGTCTTTGTTGGGAGAGGGGGGGGGTGTCGGATGTGGCTTTGAGCCTCCCCTCTGCGCTCGACAGAAAATCTGAAATTGGTAGGTAGGTAGGTGCTAGGGAAGAGGGAGGGGTCGTACTGGCACCACCATTTCACGCATCACGATGCTGTACCCTGTTTATAACTGCTTAGGTAGCGTGCAGACTTCGCAATGGCGCGCGTTGACGCGCTGTAATGCCCTGCAACGGGCGGCGACGCGCTGTAACGCAGTACATTTGCAACAGCGTTCCAATCCTATAGAAAAATGCAGGCGGGAATCGATCAGCATCGCCTTTAAGACCAGTGCTATCGATACCAGACTAGGTGATCGGGCGACGCGTGCCTCCCAGTTCCCACACTCGTTACTCAAGCGGCCCCAGTCGATCCCATTTGCGGCTGCATTCGTTGTTGCAATTGTAGCGCGTCGACGCGGTTATCGTGAAGTCTGAACGCTGCCTCACTATCAATAGAACATGTCTGACCCTTCGGTTCCGTTCAACATCGTGAATATCGCTAATAATTTTTATACAGTGAATAATTTAGCGCAGTGAAGTTCACGGAAAACACCACCAACTTAAGCTTAATAGGCCTTCACATGCTCGCCATCCGAACAAATATACGAGGGATCACTTTATACAAACAAAAAAAATTTATGCTACAGCAACGACGAAAGAAACGTCAGATTGCATATGTTATGCAAAACTGGAAGAACGGACAACTAATCAAACTAAATGCACCCGTTTCCCCCATAATTCGAGACTTGTTTGCCGAAATAGTGAGTGTGTTCATAAATGCTGGCGGTGAACCACAAACCATCGCTGCATTCGGGAGCCTCACCTTCTGAAAGTACTGATGGACTTGGTTGCTAAATGAGGCGAGCCCCATTTTCTAGCGCTCAGAAGTACTTGTTGCATAAGGCAACATTCAGGCTTGGCAATGGCTCGCTGTAACACACCAACGCGCCACAATTACAGCAGCGTTCTCGTGCGAACGCAGCCACAGTCGGGAATCGATCGGTGTTGCCGCGCTGGCCTAGTGGCCAATGTCGATCGATACCAGGCTGAGTGACTGACAAACGTTCCCCAAATTCTTCTCAGTCAGGGCACATCATTGGTTGGGGATTTTAGTCGAGTCTGCACCCCCCCCCCCTTCCGGCCGTCTGTTCCTCCTCATCGAGCCGCCGAGCGGGGATGTGGGGGAGGGGGAGTAAACAACACATGTGAAACAGGAAAAGTCGCGAGACAATACGACCCCCTTCTACCAATTTTCAGATTTTCCCCAACTTCCTGCCACTTTTTCCAAAATTTCCCGAAAAGTTCCTTACTTTTCCCCAAAAATTTTGCTGTAACGAGGGGGGGGGGCATATCACCTGTATCACCTGTGCTCCCGTTGATCATCGAGTTCCTCGAGCGGGCGCCAGTAACGTCTCCATTCGTCCCTATAGTACGCATGAAAAGGAAAATCACTGAAGGTCAACCACCACCACCACTCCTAGAAGGCCAGGAAGCAAATACGACCCCCCCCCCATTGGGGATTCCCCAACAACGATGTGCCCTGTTCTCAGTACGTAAGAGGGGCGACTCCGATCGGTTCCCGTTCGCCACTGCATTCGCGTCCATAGCCTCGGGCGCCGTTGCAATCGTGGCGCGTTACAGCGCGTGGTCGCGGAGTCTGAACCCCGTCTTAGATACCAAATCAAGATCTCAAAAAGACTGGTGAGAGCTGGACGAAAAACTGCTCCGCCAAATACTTCCGAGCGCTACTGAAGACCAGTGTTGCTCAGAGAAACTACAATGGCTTCTCACCACTGCAAATTTTGACCTCGTGCGGTTCCATGTTGTTTCTGTAGAAGGCCTAAAAAAGTCTCATTTGATCGGAGTGGGCATGGCAATGTACCTCATTAAGAAGTGGCAGACGATACGCTTTCGAGGGATATTGGCCACTTGGGGCGAGTGCAATCATGTCTTTGTTTAGCACAAGGATGTCAGTTGCTCCAAAGGAAATATCCCATGAAAAACATATGTTCAAGTGAAGTAAGCAGCCACGCTCTATCTGTCTTTGGGATATGGTGTGTAGCTGTCACCTCCTGTTTGTGATGGAAGTATCCGCCAATTGGTCCCAGAGGAATGTGCGGTACAATATCTCTCCAGTGAGTCACACGAAATGAGTACTCCAACTGAAATTGGGAGAAGTTCTTCAGTTGGGAGCGATACCATCGATAAAAGCATAGAAACGTGCTGTATTGGTCACGTCATGCAGCCAATACACTCGTTACCGCGGAAGTTACTTGAGGCGTGTCAAACGGCGCGTGGGTTTGGGCGCGGCGCCAGCTTCCAGCGCAACAATCATAGAACGTTCGAAGACCCAACGATCCACGAAAGACAGGTTGGCACTGCGCTAAATCCCCGCCGGAACGCCCCAATGACTTCAGTGATAACAACTGTAGCGGGCCAGCATATGCAGACATCTGAAACGCTTTTTGGTGCGGTGTCAGCACATTCGCCTTTACTCACCGTACCTGATTGTTGTGATGAACGGAAAAGAGAATATCCCCAGTTCTGGGCTGTCCGAATGTGACCAGTTTGACTTCGCTCGAATTTGCAAGACGTGATCCAACTAAGAAAGAAGCCGCCAGTGATGCTACTGATCCCCCAAGAGAATGCCCAGTAACCTGCAAAGCACAGATTTTTTCTTGGAAAAAAGGGAGGGGGAGCCTCACATCAACTCATGTACCTACC